CCCCAAAACCCCAAAACCCCAAAACCCCATTAATACTTTTAGATATGGAAAAATAGGATACAAGATTTGTAATAAATATATAAAAATGTAAAAGCTTTCTATCATTGATTAACATTTTTCGAGTCAATAGACCACAGGATAACCCAGTCTTTTGAAGGTTACCATTGCAAACAAAGTTGCATTGATTGAAATGAATCCACCAACCAAGCTAATTTTTATGAGCAAGGCTTTAGCTGGTTAAATTCAATCTGAACTTGAGTCAATTGAATAAAACCCAGATGTCAATGTTATAATCTTGACTGGAAAAGATGGATCCTTCTGTACTGGTGCTGACATTAAAGAATTAGCTGATACTGATTTTGCTGGATTCCTGTAGGATGATTTTATTGAAAGAATATGGTTGAGGATTCTACCGAAATGCAACAAGCCAATCATTGCAGCTGTTAATGGAATGGCTTTTGGAGGAGGATTCGAAGTTGCCTTAGCTTGTGACATTGTTTTGGCTAGTGAAGATGCTTAATTCGGTCTTCCTGAAATTAAACTTGGCCTCATTCCTGGAGCTGGAGGTACTCAAAGATTAGCTAAAGTAGCTGGTAAAGCCAGAACAATGTAAATGGTTCTATCTGGCAGACCAATTTCAGCTCAAGAGGCTCTTCAATATCATATTATTACACAAATTTGCCCAAAAGACAAACTATTGGAAGAAGCCATGAAACTAGCAGTAGCCATTTCTGCTCATTCACAACTTGCTCTCAATGCAGGAAAGAAAGCTGTTGCCACCAGCTTTGAAACCAGTCTTGATGCTGGACTTAAGTATGAGAGAGCACTCTTCACTGGACTTCTTGGAACTGCTGATAAAAGGGAGGGAGTCGCAGCATTTGCGGGAAGAAGACCATCTAAGTTCACGAATCATTGAGATTTATCAATTAATATTTTGGAATGAGAATCTATGATGACATAGGTATCTTTTATATTACGTCGGTCATCTTATTTATTATCGCTTTTGATATTAAGATTAAAACTTAACAAGATTTATAATACTGAATTATTAAAGTTAATAATAAAGATAAATGACCTCAGGCAAAAATTTAGACAAGTATTATAAGAGTAGGATTCATTCAGGATCTATTATAATCGTCAGACCCTTATTACCCAACGAGAGTCAGGAGACTAATGATGGCTATGATTATAAGTTTCTCATTATGAAAAGAAGCCCAAAGATTATATGGGGCGGGTTCTATGCTTTTTCAGGAGGCAAAGTTGAAGAATAAGACTTTTATGATAATTGGCTAAACCAATACCCTGAGATGTTCACTTCCCTTGGCAGGGCTTTTTATGATTTTAATGCAAGAATTTGTGCAATACGCGAAACTTTTGAAGAAATAAATGTTTTGATAGCTAGACCAATTGACGGGGAGAAAACTGATGCATATCATGGCCTAAGAGATGAATACGAAAAAAAGTACAAATGTAACTTCATTCAATTTTGCAAAGACAAAAGGTTAATACCTGACTTGAATTAGATTTATGGATATTGAAGAGTTTCTAGTGGCTTAGAGATTGTTCCAGGTATAGATAACCAATTTTATCTCTACTTTAATAAGAATGATGAGAATGTGAAGAAGGTTGACATTAATAAAGGGGAATTTACTAATGCAAGATGGCTTAATCCTAAGGATGCCCTATAAAAGTTCTACATGGAGGAATTGCCCCTTATATTCCCATAGTACGCTTGCATTTGTCATTTTACTTTGATAAAGACAATTTCTGAATTTGAAAAATTAGCTAAAACTGTCTATGACTCAAATTTGATATCATACTCAAGTATGTCTCTTTCTCGCAAGAACTTGAGTAAGCTGCCTCAAAAAATGAGGGAAAAAGCAGTTTAATAATTTAATAATGAGCATGATCTAAAAGCTGATTCAGAGAGAAAATTGATTGTCTTTAATAACACCAATCCAAAATATAAGGAGATAGTTAAGAAGTTAGAATCAGCTAAAAATGATTACAAAGAGTTAGCTGAAGCTTGCTAAGATTTGCTTGTTGGGACGATGCCTGGTGATTTTTACGATATGAATGATGGATTTCCTATACTCTCCAAGAAATCTAGTAGAAGAAGAGCTTATTGGACGTAAAATTGGGAGATTATCAGATTTGAAATCAGTGAGGATATTTTTGATATGTTTATAAAGCATCATATAGAAATGCCTAAATTATGACCATAGACTACAAATATTATCTATTAATTCTCAAATAATTCATAAAAATAGCTCTAAGGGGTTTTGGGGTTTTGGGG